AGATTAAGAAAATGTTAGTGTCAAAGTTTGAAAACCTGGAACAAAAGAGGAAAGAAATTGCACCAAATTCAATGCTGTTATGCAAACCAAGAAGGTGTAGTTGCTATGTTCATAAAATACTTCAATGATTACATCATTAAATCTTTGATAAGGATAATTGGTCATATATTTCACTGTACATGAACCAATGACCTTCACAAACAAGGAAGTTTTATCACGGGTGATATCAGTATCAACATTATAGATGACTGCAGGTTAGTACCTCAGTATCTTTTGTCAGGGCCGTTGTACTATGGAATTTTTTCCTGCATAGTTAGTTCCGTCAGATGTGCTTCCATTTCGAATGTTGGTGTGTAGTTGGGTAACATATTGGGTGTTTATTTTTGCTACTGAAACTGTTCGCGTATTTGTGTTTTTTTATTGCCTCCCGCATTAGCCGACTATGCTATCTTTCAGCTAGCGCTGGTTACTTAACTACTACTGATATATTTGTTACTTGAAGATATCAGATCTATTTCATTTTTGGTGCTGCACACTGTATATAAAGTCGACAACACATGTAGTAGTCATGATTCAAAGTAAGTCACAATCGAGGACAAACAATATTGGTGTACCACAAGGATCTATCTAAATATTTATGTATGCTGATGACACAAATATACTGGTCTCAGAAACTAACACACGCAAACGAATTTTATAAATGGTGTCTTCATAATGAACTAAATGTATCCAAAACTTTTATATGACATTTTTAACGCAAAATATGAACAATTATGTTAGTTATTTAATGAAAATCAATAATAAAAGCAATGAACAACTGACTACTATTGAATTTCTTGGAATTGATATGGACCATAAGATGACATGGTGATGCTCTTGTGCGAAAATTAAGCACTGCATATTTTCTAATTAGACAGCTTTGGAAGTATTGAAACTGGCTTATCATCGACTTGTCCAGTCCCTATTAACATATGGTCTGATGTTTTGGGACAATTCAGCTAATATTGATAAAAATGTTTCTTATGCAGAAGAAAATTATTAGGTCAATGGTGGACCTAATAATTACCTAGTAATCTAAATTACTATAAATATAAAGATAACAAGGGGATTCAATGTTATCAAATAGCTCCGTTCACAAATATTTAACAAAAAAACTATAACAACTTACAGCAACCCTCCTGCAGACTATCGATAAGGCAATACTGTCATATTTATCAAAATATAGAGTGTTAATGCTTTAAAGAACTGTTTAGTGTCGAAATGTCAATGTCAGGAATGCTCTTCATAAATATTTGGAAGAAAACATATTTTATTCTTTCAATGAATTTTTTATGAATGTATTTTCATTATCATATTATATTAACATTAATGTGCTACTATTTATTAATGAACAGATGATAGTTCTTTTAAAACATACAATTGTTCTTTCACTTACGACTTGATAATAGTTCTCTTAATATATACTTATTTCATCTGTATTGCTGAAGGTTGGAGGTGCTGTTATGATTAGTCCAATAAGTTTATGTGACGTGTGTCTTTTATACATTTGTATGGACTTCGGTGATGAATAAATTTGATTTGATTTGGTGTCAGAAACATACATACCATCGCTAGGGGATGAAACACTTACCGCATCATCAAATAATAACCCAACCTCAGCGGTTACCATGGCAAAAATCCACTAATTACGATATGAACTGCTTGACCATGCGCCTTACTCACCAGATCTAGCCCCAAGCGACTTTTTTTTGTTCCCTCATTCAAAAATTGCGCGTATGGAGTCGAAACAAGACTATGAAAAACCAAAAACAGTACTTGATAAAAATAACTGCATAAAAGCAAGTGAGATATAAGTGGAACTACCTATTGATGTGACACCCAAGTTAGCTTGCCAAGTTTTTATGTTGGCGTTGGTGGTTTGACCAACTGACAACTGCATTAGCAGAAATTTAGGAAGCTTTCCTGGAATGTTATCTGAAAACGAATTTACATGTTTCTAGAAATTATATAAAATCAAGAAAGGTGCAGTCAAGCTGCTGAAGAATAATTCCATGAAATTTAAAAGATGAAGATGATTACTATTCTGATCTCCCAATTTGATTTCAATTCAAGAGCCACCGGTAGACAGCTGTTTCAGCCTGTTGGGCATCGTCAGTACCGGGCAGGTCATCCTCGATTGAAGACAAAATGTGAAACACCAAGAACAGTAATTGATAAAAATAACAGCGTAAAAGCAAACAAGACATAAGTGGAACCATCTATTGGTGTGACACCCAAGTTAGGTTGCCAAGTTTTTATGTCGGCCTTGGTGATTTGACCAATCAACTGACAACTGCATTAGAAGAAATTTGGGAAGCTTTCCTGGAATGTCATCGGAAAACGAATCCACGTTTCTAGAAATGATATAAAATCAAGGAAGGTTAATGCAGTCAAGCGGCTGGAAAATAATTCCATGAAATTCAAAATATGAAGATAAGAACTAATCTGCGTAAAAGCAACTTTTTTTAATTTATATCAGATACACTCCTGTATTTATAATATTTATATTTCGGACCCGGATGTCACGCAGGTAGCTATAACTGCCTACGTAGTCAGGTTGGTTGCTGTCTAACCACAAATGTGCGGGTTCCTCCGTACATATGTACCATATGTGGCTTCTTGTATATATGCAGGGCTGTAACGAAAAGAAATACTACCAGGGGGGGGATCCAAATTTTCCTCTGAAAACATTGAACATATTTTCTTTGATTAACCATCCTGTTTTATGTAAAATTAGGAAATGTCTTCAATACGCAAACTGCAAATTAAAATAACTTAATAAATGGTATGGATAAAAGTACTTTCGGATTATTGATAGAGATGAAGACAGAAGGAGAGAGAGAAAGATATATCTATTATTTCAAGAAAAAAGAGATCACTTTTGGTTTGAAAACCATGTACGAAGACTATAATAGTCGATAACATAACATTTTACAATGTGAATAATATGAAGTTAAAATCATACAGGAAGACTACACAAAGTATGAATAAATTTTCAAAGTTAAGCTAGGCTCTATCATTCAGAGAAATTGAAAAAGTAGGATTATTATGATTAGGACCCTTTGTTAAAAAAATATGGTCATTCATTGAAAAATTTTGATAGTGTATAACAAACCCTATCAACTGAATAATATTTAAGTTTTTTCCCAACATGTCATAACTTTCACCTACTCTGAATATTTTCAGACTGCTGTTAATCACATAATTTTTGTATCAGTGCCGTGTTTGGTTTGGGAATTCTAAGACAATCAGCCTGTCTTGTAATACATGAAAATTTAATGGGTAACCTCAAGAATCTGTGTATGGCCCTTTACTTATTTTATTGTATAATAATGACTTGGCTAATGTTTCTATAGAAGATGAATTGACAATCTTTCTGAGTGAATAAATTCTCAGAACTCCATATTAACAATAAATTTAATTTATCATAGATGACCAGTCGATTGTATAAAATGGCTGTTTTGCCCTATATCCAATTCATTCAATAAGGAATGCCTACTTCACCCTTTGTGAATCATACCTGTGTTAAGGAGGCAATTCTCAAATATCAATAAACCTGTTTCTCATTGTTCAAAAAACCGCTTTGAGATATATGTGCAAGGCTTGAGTTCGAGATTCCTGAATACTTCTTTTTTCAGTACAGTATTAACTATCATGAGCTTGCCTTTTCATTTTAGAGACAGTTTGCCTCGTAAAGAGAAAGTACAAGGAAAATATTATGTTACAAGTGAGCTATGCTTCTCGTCTCAATCACAATATTACTCTTCTTTTTTTTATAATGAGAGAAACCTATTTAACAATATTCAGCGAGACTTTTTTGTATGAAAGTAAAGGAACTCAAGAAGAGTACTTTGCCCATGCACTGAAGATGACTGCCGCAGAAGAAGAACACGGCAAAACCTGGAAGCCAATCAAAACAGTTAGTTTATTATTCTGCAGAAGATTTTTGACTTTCTACTTCTTCATGTGTTCTATTTCTTTTGATGATAGCTACTTTTCAAGCCTTGCTCAACAAGTGTGCATTTATGATAATAAGCTTATTTATTACTTTTTTTTATACCGAAGTATGCGCTGGTCAGGCCCTATCCCCCAAAGCCCCGATACATTCGGGAGGGCACGCCAGCATTATCAACCAACGACCACTCCCCACACCGTGGGGTAAGTGATCATTGGGTCCGAGAATCATGTGCCCTGAGCAAGCGCAGTAAGCCAAGAATGACAGCTTTCTGTATCTGTCCGGTTAAGATTTCTGCCTTAGTGCGGCAGACCAGTATGATTTTAAGATTTGAGAGTAGAGAGGGAGTCATTCCACCAAGGACTCCAATTATCTGAACAACCATCTTGACAGAGTGGTCTGGATAGAGTCTGCGGAGTTCGAAGAGAAAATCTCGATATTTTATCCGTTTCAACTCCTCTTTTCGGACAATATTCGTCTCGATAGGAGCTGAAAACTCCACAACAAATATCGTCTTGCTTGGTGGTCGAGAAGGAGTACATCAGGCTAATTGGCTTGTACGAGTCATTATTATTATTTACTTATTTATTAAGTTACATAGATCAGTTATCAAACAATGAATTAATATAATTTTCAACTCATAATAACTCACCAGTCCACTATTTGATCTGGTATCGTCAGGTGTGGGTTTAGGAGTCTCAGAAACTAATCTAGGTGGAGCAGGAAGTGGCGGTGGAGAAACACAAACTGATACAGGTTCCTCTCTAGGAAGAACAGCTTCATAAATAGGTTCATCCGTTTTTGCTTCTAGCTGTTCTGGCATTATTATATGAGGTTCTGCAATGGTCTGGGAGGTTGTCGGAGGTGGCGGCGGCGGGGGACCTGTTGGCTCTGGCAAAGTGGGAAAACCCATTTTAGGAAGTGTAGGTTGTTGTTGTTCTTGAGCTAATCCTTCCAGTTCTTGTTGAATGACTGTTTCAAGTTCCACATCCAAATCCTCAACAAGTTCGTTCATTTTCTCCCCTATTTCATCAATTATCTGATTACGATTATTGGGGTGAACATCAGAAAGGAAGGCGAAGAGATTATCCAGGTCAACTGACTCTGCTACTCCTTCAGGTCTATTGTGCTTGAGCTGCTCAGCCATTTGTGATAAGGCAGCTATCTCTTGTTCGGCCGCTCTAAAACAAAAAAAATCATTTACGGTTGTAATTATAGCAAAATAATAAAACAAAATTGATTTCTTCAGATTAGGTACGATGATGAGTAATTCTTACGTGAGTCCAATCACTCTCTTGAAGAAACGTCATGGTCATCAACATGTAATGTAAATCTCAAACAATTAGGGAGATTGAATGATCGCCAGAACGGCTGTCGTCATCAAAGATCAACCAAAGAGCTTGTGTCGATTGACTGTGGCAAGAGACATGAATAAATCGAAACAATTTTTTTTGACTATTTACCGCATTCGCCTCTCAATGTTTAGGTGGAAATGAACAGAAGTGTCTACTTACAATTTTCTCGACAACAAAATTGCCTGTAAATAGGAAAGGTGACACTATAGGCAGACTTAATGGTTTTTTCAATTACCACTCAATGGATTTTTCATCACTTTATTGGTTTTTTTATTGCTCCTCAATGGGTTTTTATCACCTGAATGTCTTTTTATTACACTTTATTAGTTTTTTTATCACCTTAATGGCTTTTTAATTGCTCCCAAATGGCTTTTTATCATATGAATTTCTCCCCAATGGATTTTTGCTGTTCATTTAATGGATTTTTGTTGTTCACTAATGGCTTTTATTGCTCTTTGTTTCTTGTCGACGTCACATAAACGATGTTTTAAGTAACAGTTCGATTACTTTCAAATTTAATTACCGTTTGATGAAATTTTTCGATTGAACTATTTTGAATACTTGGTTTCGGCATCACTAGATGACGAGTCAGTATCAATTACATCAGTGAATCACATTTTACTATTATCGCCAAATTAGAAACAATATTTGAAAGCAAAGAATTTGGTATTCTTTTGCTTGTATATTTAAGAAAAAACACGCTGTAAATAATAGAATCCAGATCTGGACCTTTCGGACCCTACAATATTAGATCCCATGCGTTCGTTATTCACCCTAATAAAGATTCCCATCTCAGAGTCAATGGTATGTTCATTGATTGTATAATTGGTTTCACGAAACGTATCAGAAATGGAACTAGCATGTATTTTTGGAGATGAAGATTTTTATAGTAAATTTCGTCTCTTAAAAAAGACAATCCAAGGACAATAATTAACATGAGAAATATATTCTCTTGATGACGAGAACGTAGCGAAAGGGGTATGTATATACGAGTATATAAAACCTTAGAACACCCTAGAAAAACCACTTTTGATATCATCAGTGTTCGAGCTTTTCGTTGGTTCCAACAAATTATTGTGAGTTCAAAAGTCTGTAATTCTTTACAATGTAAGTATACCTTTACTTTTGTTTTCTGTTTTCTTTTCAAATATTATAATTTAGTTTCTTGATAGATGAATAATCTTCATTTTCGATCATTTTTCTGTTTCCGTGGTGCATTTAAACGAAATTACTAAAGTCTATCCAAATCCAAGATAGAGTAAAACAAAACAAAACCGAAGCGTGATGTTCACGTGATCGCCCAGTGTCAGATGGAAAGGGCAGCGTTCACTAGTGAATTCGCCTTCTTGGTACGAGTTCGGTACCAGCACAGGGTTGTAATCAGTCGTTTGCGTGTTTGTGTGGCGTGCGTTATAGTATATTGTTTGAAATTGTTTTCCAAGATTCTTCACCCATCTCACAATAATAATCTTATAGTTGATCACACAAATGTAATTTTTATATCTGAAAATAAAGTATAAGTGATGATCACTGCTTTTGTATTATTCAAAAAAACCTTGGACACGTTTCATATCATTATCCAAACAAATAACTTCGATTATAGCATATGAAACAACTATCATTTTTATACCTGAAAAGAAAAATTTCAACACTTCTCATATCCAAATAAAATGCACCACGGCCGGCGTTATTTTCTTTAGGGCAGGATTTACAATACCAACCCCTTCCCTGAGGTTGTTCTCCTAATTCACAGTAGAGGCTTTCCACTGGCGTGGTTCTATACGCTCCTGCGATTATGCGCAGAGCAGAATGATGTACTGAATCCAGTTGAGATAATGTTCTTCGTTTAGCAGAAGCATATGCAATACAACCATAATCTAATTTAGAGCGCATTAAAGATCGGTACAGCAGCAGTAGTGTTGAACCTTCTGCACCCCATTGTTTATGAGCTATGCAATACAACCATAATTTAATTTAGAGCGCAGTAAAGATGGGTACAGCAGCAGTAGTGTTGAACCTTCTGCATCCCATTGTTTATGAGCTAGGTGTTTGAATAGGTTCATTCCTTTTTGGCATGATAGCACTAGATGTCTGACATGTTGCTTCCAATTCAATTGTTGGTCAAATATCATCCCTAAGAATCTGATGTGGATAACGAATGTTAATTTTGTGTTATTCATTTTCATTGTTGGTGATTTCTCGCATTTTTTCTTTGAGAATATAATGCAGTTCGTTTTTTCTGTAGAAAAATTGAAACCTGTGGTTTTGGACCATTTTTCTAGAGAACTTATTTGGATCTGTAACAGTTTAGCTAGGTTATGGATATTCTTTCCTTTGATAAATAGTACCATATCGTCTGCGTATATTCTTGCCTGAAGGGGGTTTTTCAAGTAGTGTAAGACGTCATTGAGTGCTATTAGAAATAGAGTGGGGCTTATTATCGAGCCCTGAGAAATACCATTTTCTTGAATTTTGCACTGTGATAATGTACCATTTACTCGAACTTGGAACTTTCTTTCGAAAAGGAAGTTTTGTACAAATGCTAATATGTTCCCATCATAACCCCATTTTTTCAATTTGTCCAGAATTTTATAACGCCACGCAGTTTCGAAAGCTTTGTTAATATCGAAATAGACTGCCATGCATTTCTGTTGGTTGGCAAAAGCCTCGTGAATAGTGCTCTCCAGGTCTATTATATTATCTAAGGTTGATGTGAGATCTGAATCCCGATTGTTCCGCTATGATTCGATTTTGACACTCAAGAACCCACATTAAACGTTTATTCACTATCTTTTCGAGTAATTTGCACATTGTACACGTAATGGATATTGGTCGATAGGATTTTGTTTCAAGGGCTTATTTATTTGGCTTCAAAATGGGGATGATTAGTGCTTGTCTCCAAATTTGGGGAAATTTCCGTTCGGTCCAAATTATATTGATAATTCGTAAGAGAAGGTGCTTTGCAACTCTTGGAAGTTCCTCAAGAAGGAAGCTGGTATATCATCTGGACCTGAGGAGGTATCTTTCATCGAGATCAGTGTTTCATGGAATTCCTCATTAGTGATTGGGGAGTTTATTGGATCTTTATTGTCTGTTATTATTATTGGCGAAGATTCCTTCTCAGATTTGTATGTGATGAATGCTTCATCAAAGTTTTCACTGGATGACTGTTGGCGGTATTGTTCTGCAAATACTCTAGCTATATCTTCTTTCTGAGTGATAATTAATCTATTTTTATCTAATGCGGCTACACCATAGTTTGAATGTATACCTGAGATACTCTTGACTTTTTTCCACTCTGTATTCATTGGCGTATTACTATTTATGCTTTGTTTTAAGATTTTTATATCTCCTTAGTGCCGTTTTGCTTGCTTTTATTGCAGTTTCACATGCTTTGTTCCACCACGGTACAGGTTTACGTTTTTTCAGGTGTTTTGTCTTTCCGATTGACTTATTCGCAGCATCTATTATGAGGTCATTGAAGTTTTTAATGGTTATGTCTATGTCATTCGAGATCTCGACTCTGTCGATGTTGTTTTCAATTGAGCTTGAATACTGATTCCATTTTGCATTTTAAATGTTCCATTTTCGGGATAGTACTTCATCACTTGTTGAGGAAGTTTGTTCTTAAGTCGTGTGATATAATTATGGGATAGTGGTTGCTACCAAATAAATCATCTAGTATTTCCCATTCTATGCGTGTCAATGTGTTGGGATCACACATTGCTAGATCGAGTACCGATGAATTTCCAGTAGACGTGTCAAACCTGGTTTCAGAACCATCGTTGAGAATAACTAGGTCATTATTGAAAATATTCTCCAGTTTGCGTCCCCTAATGTTCGAATAACCTGACCCCCAGGCAATATTGTGTGCATTGAAGTCTCCAACGATAACTGTGGTGACGGAATTTGGACTAACAAAGTTTTCAGATCTTGCTCATCTATAACAATGTTCGGTGGTAGGTAAATGTTGCATATAGAAAATTTTTCTGGTGCTAGAATAGTAACCGCTGTTGCTTCCAAATTTGTTTTTAGATCGATTTTGTTGACTGTTTTGTTTGATTGAACGTAAATAGCCGTTCCGCCACACGCTCTTCCATCTGTATTACGATTCTGAAAATATCCTTTGCAATTTTTCAAGTTGTGGGTATTATTATTACGAACATTCGTTTCTTGTAATCTTGTAAACAGAGATCGTCTGGTGAATATTCTGATAATAATATTTCAAGCATACTCAAATGAATATAATATCCATTCAAGTTCCATTGTAGGAGTATATTGAAAGTTATCGAAAAAAAAAGTTTTCACAGCGATATCAGTAAAGTTGATCTGATGAGTCACTCTGTGGCTCATATCTATCAGTTTCTATCTGTTTTTGTAGTTTTTTCCTCAGTTTAGTGAACGACCTTTCAAGTTTCTATCTTCGATATGTGGATGTATTTCCAGTAACATGTCAACCAATGCTTGAGGGTGGTCGGTATAATCCATGGCAATGCTCAAGACATCTTTTGATCCGTGTGCATTTTCGAATAAATCTTTAAGTTGTTTTGAGTCGATGGTAAAAGATTTTTCTTGATGTTCCATATATTCCTTTATGGACTGTATCATTTCTGGTTTGATTAATTAATTTGTTTAGTCGTTTTTATCTTGACAGTTATTTTGGGAGTAATGAACTTTTGGTCTTCTGACGTTGGTGTTAGAATTTCTTCGACGCCACGTTTTCCAGTTTGTCGATCATCTTGCTGGGTGGGTTCAACTGTGCCTTCAGTAACTTGAATTTGTTCAGTAAAATCTGCTTGCTTTGGGTTGTTGGATGAATTATGATC